CTAAACACCTCAAGTACGAGGTGGGTTAATAATATATTATAATAATATTGTTTTGTGTTTAAAAAGGGGAGAATGAGTTGGATTCTCTCTCTGCAAAAATACTCTATCTTACGCCCCTCCCTCTCAGTAATGTTTAGTGCTCTTCGTGAATTAAAGAACGCATTGAACTCCTTCTCTCTAGCCGAATTTTACCGAAAGTTCCCTCTCAAATATTATAGGTAAAGGATCTCATTATCCTGAAAAATAGTCTGTTCACCATTTTTATACTGTAATTTTATGAGCATATGGTATCATTTTTTTCTGTTAAAATTATTATTATTTGTTTATTAGAAATTTAGACATTGTAAATTATTAAAAATAAAATTTATGCCTATTATTATGACTTTTAGACACTTCAAAATTTATGTGTAAGTGATGTCATTTCTGGTAAATCATTATGTGAAAAATTGATATTTCTGCAATTAATTATAATACTGTTAATACTGTGAGATTTACGTATTTCTGCATTTAATTGTATTTTTGTTTGTCTATGAATTTTAGATACTATAAGTTTTACCTATTCCTGTAAAATAATTAATTATGAAATTATATTTCAATAAAATTGTGATATTTATGTGTTTAACCTTGGATTTCTATAAAAGCTCGCAAATTTATAATCGACTGCCTATTGGATTCCATTTCAAATATACATGTTCGATCTTCTACCTGTCTGCAATTTTTATCCAAATTGTTTGATTGGTTACTTACAAATATTTCAATGAAAGTAATTGTTTAAATTGCTTCAAGTGAATTCCTGTTAATGATTTCAATGATACTTTGAATATACGATGTTGATGCTTTCTGATGTTAAAGAGTTTTTTAGATAATTTAAGTATGTGTGGACCTATCCGGAACACAGATATGGACTATTTGGACTCATCCGGTATGGCGATGAGATATGTTTGGATCTGCAGAGATTATTTGGACCCATCCAGGACGCTGGTGGGGTATATAGGTGACCTACTTGGGATGCCAGTAGGGTATTTTGTGAAATCCTTTGAGTTATGCATTGCTGTTAAAATATTTATATGCATTTCAATCATTTGGATTATGTTTAATTGTGTATTTTTGAAAGTGAAATTGTTATCCATAAATGCTTTTTGGCTCGCATTGTTTTTAATAGACCTCTCTTTTTGAAAATGTTTACATCTTCCGACTATGATTATTTTTTAGGACTATGATGATCACTTACTGAGTAGCCAAACTCATCAAACTATGTTAAAATTTTTTCGAGGTAATTGCAGCCTCCTTAGTTGAAGGCACAACAGGACCAACTTTGGAAGAAGTCATAGTTATGATGAAATTTTCTCTTTGTGACTTTGTTCAAATTCACTATTGTAAACTTTGTCCTATCCACAAATGTATATCTAAACCTTCATGTTAATACTAGTTATGAGTAGACTTTGTACAGACTCTTAGAAATGGAAAAATCTGTTTTAGTACAATAAATGGTGAAGTAGAAACATTTCGTTTTGTTAAAGATAGACTGTTACATCTCAGGGATTCCAGTGTTATAAATCTTGGGGTGTGACATGGACCATCCCACAAATGTCAAAAAATAAAAATGAAAAGTATATAAGTAGTTAAATGTTTGAAATATCAAATTATGGGAAAAACTACCATAAAAAAAAAAAAAAAGGAAGCAGGACCTCTCATTATAATTTATGAATTTAGGGACTACTATTTGTTTGATCTCAAATTTCAAGTGTACATTCTTTTGATTCCAATGAACTATCACAAAAAAAGCAAACTATGAAAATACATCCAAGAAAGTATTTTTTAACTCAAATAACATAGATATCCATTTAGCAAGATCTTGGACCTAGACCTTAGAATAACTTTTTTCCTTTTGAAAGTTTTTAGATAGCATTTTATCATTAGATGAGCAATGTTAAAACAGGAAAAAATAATTTTAAGTTCATAGAAAACCCTAGATCTTGAAATTCACCAAATGAATGATTTAGATTTATTGTTGGAGGGGACTCATTTTTTCTAAACCTATGATGCAATTTAAATTTTATTTTTTTAAGAATTACTTATTGAGATGAAAAGATGGTGTGTGTAATTTTTGAGTCATAAAAATACTACAAAATCTAGAAATATAGTTTCATTACATCATGAAGACATTGACGGTGACATGAAATAACTGCCCTTTCTTTATTGAGGTTCCGAAATTCGGATTCCTAAAGTTGGCCCTAAATATTTTGGCTATAAAGTCTTGGCACGGCGTATAGGAGGTATACACACCACCGCATTTGCAGTGGTGTATGATATAATTTCCTCCTTGTGTGTATGCTTAGCTGTAATCTCTCTCTCTTATTATTTCTCTTTTTCCTGGCCATTCTCTCTCCACTCTAGTCTTTATTATCGTCTTTACGCTAGCCATTTAATCTCTCTTCTGTCTATCTTGCAATCAAAAGGCGATTTTGTTTCAGGTGAAGTGCTTCGAACTCCTCTCTTCAAGGAACTTTCACATTTAAGTTCATTTTCGCTTTTGTTCTTGCGTTCTTTTTCTTGGTGTTCAGCCAGGGTTTGTTGAGATAAAGAGGAGCACCTTTTTTTCCCTGTTTTCCATGTAAATGGTTATTGTAAGGTTTAGGGTTTTGTTATCCCTGTTCATGCGCTATGATGGTGACCGTGTTTAAGGTTGGGGCCATTGAAGCCTCTGAGATAGGGTTGCTCTAAATTGTTACAAAACCTAGCACAACTTAAAAAATCAAAGATTTCTTTGTGACACTACTACTTTAATCTTTCGGAGCTATTAGTTTGGATAATTTTTGGATTTTATTTTATTTTATGGATAATTTTCAGTTATGAAGACGAAAGACACTGAGGCTACGAAGATTGGGGCGTCGAAGAAGACAGTTGTGAACAAGATTGGGGCGATGAAGAAGAAGACAGTTGTGAAGAGAGATTCTGATAAATCTTCTCCTAGTATAGAGCTCAAGAAAAATACCGATGCAAAACAAGGGCTGACAGAAGATGCCAATCCGAAATTTGAAACAAAAGGCGAGTACAAAAATTACTCCTTACTCATTCCAATGAAGAGTATCTGTTTTTTCGGTTGGATTGTTATTTGTGTTCTATTAGTGTCTTTTGATTTTTGTGTGATAGGTCTTTCGGGAAAAAGGATATTTTTGTTTGAGGTGTTCAATAACACAATTGCATGTGTCTTTGTTTCTGTGTTTCTGAAGGGTTCTCGCATTCTCATCACAGTAAATTACAGCATCCTGTCTATTGCTTTTAATGATGGCATACTCCTCTTTTCTGTGTCGTAATCTCATTAAATTTTGTCTGATGGGTTATTATGAAGAAAAATAAATTGTTTTTTTGTAATCTGTTTGGTATATGATGTCTTCTATACTTTCATTTCTCACATGATTTTGTTATTTTATGCCTTTTACCATTTTTCTTGGCACATTTTGTTAGTTTGCGGTTTTATTGTTATTTTACTAATATATGTTGTTAACGTCTTTTAATTGTAATTTAATTGGTATTACCCTGTTAATCTAGTCTAAAACTCTTTTTCACGAGTTAACATTCACAAAAAGGCCTCCTTTCCCATGAGTTCAGAAGAACAACAGTGGGGTATGTACCTTTCTTTTTTGCATGTGCTTGTGGTTTTGATCACTTATGCTGTCCTTTATTTGTTGTGGTTACAGGGAAAGAAAATCTGAGTACACCTGATGGTGTTGCTCGGGGAACTGTAAGTTACGTGGGGTTTCCTGCTCCAAAATCTGCAGAGAAGAAGCCAACCCCAAAATCGAAATCACCTGCTGCATCAAAGGCCAACCCAAAAAAACTGGAACCCAACAAGCCCAAACCGCAAGAAAGCTCAAAGAAAATTGATGGTGCTACTTCCAAGAAGGAGGTTTCTAAACCAGCGTTCAAGTCAGATAAAGTAGAAGAGACCCAAGAATCTGATGATAAGGACAAAGTTGAGGGCCTCCAAAATGCCCATGACACAAAGGATTCTGCCCATGATGCAGTTAAGGTAGAAAGGGATGAAGAAAATGAAGATACAAAAACAGAAGATGGACACGCCTATCATGAGGATGCTATTGATGGCTTGGATGAGATGGTGGAGTATGAGGAGCCGGAGGGTTTTGAGGAACCTGGGGATGATGAAGGTGATGTGGATGAAGGAGATGAAGCAGGGGAAATGGAGGCTGAACAAGAGATTGAGATGAAGGAAGTTATGAAGGAAAGACAACTTAAGAAGGAGCAGGAGATATTTGTTGGTGGGTTGGATAAAGATGCTGTGGAAGATGATCTTAAGAAGGCGTTTGAGAAAATAGGGGAAGTTGTTGAAGTTCGATTGCTCAAGAATCATATTACAAACAAGAACAAGGGATTTGCTTTTGTGAAATTTGCAACCAAAGAACAAGCAAGCCGTGCTGTTTCAGAGTTGAAAAATCCAGTGGTTCGTTTGTTCGTTTTTATCAGTATTACGTAGGCATTTTCACTAGATTTGGATATGTGGGCCTGACTTTGTTTTTTTTGAGGATTTCTGATATGGATACACTGCCTGGATTAGAAAAATGTGTAATCATTAGTGACATATAGATTCTAGCTTCTACGTCTAGCTTTCTGTCTCCAACATAGTGTATAAAGTTTCGTTAAATCTTTTTGCATATCTATAACAATAATGACTTTTTGGCTTTAAAATAATGAATGCTGATTGGAGAGTTTTTGTTATAAGATGCTACCTTACTTTTAAAGTGACCTAGCTTATTAGTCTCAGTTGTTATTTTTCCTGTGGTCAATGGTTAATGACAAAGGAAATTGTGGTTTTATCTTTATTGGCTTTATCTTTATTTCTTTTGGTTGCCTTTCTGTGGAGATTCATTTGAATAGGTGATAATTCCAGATTCGTGGGAAACGCTGTGGTGTTGCTCCTAGTGAGGACAATGATACCTTGTTCCTAGGGAACATTTGTAACACTTGGACCAAGGAAGCTGTAAGATTTACTTAACACATCCAATCAGTGACCTGTGAAAGTCTTAGCGTTTGTTTTCTGTCATTTGAAGCATATTTGCTGACATGGGTATATGATTGCAGATTAAGAAAAAGCTTATGGAGTATGGGGTAGATGGTGTGGAGACTATCACTTTAGTTGCGGATCCACAGCATGAAGGTTTAAGCAAGGGTTTTGCTTTTGTGGAATTCTCATGTCACATGGATGCTATGAATGCATACAAACGGCTGCAACAACCAGATGTTATATTTGGCCACCCCGAAAGGACTGCCAAAGTTGCATTTGCTGAACCATTACGTGAACCAGATCAGGAGGTCATGGCCCAGGTTTGTTTTTAGGGCATGTCAAGTTTGCTTTTGGACGGCTTTATGATTTTTTCTTTCATTTTATTTTGTTCCATCGCTTTCTTGTTACAAGCTTTTATATGGGCATTATCTTTTACTCTCTTTCCTGTTGCAGGTCAAGTCTGTTTTTGTTGATGGGCTGCCGCCACATTGGGATGAAGACCGCGTAAGAGAGCAAATGAAATATTATGGAGAAATTGAACGTGTTGTACTGGCACGTAACATGCCCACTGCCAAGAGGAGAGACTTTGGGTTTGTCAATTTTACAACTCATGATAGCGCTGTTGCTTGTATTGAAGCCTTGAATAGCACAGAGTTGGTTGATGGGAAGAACAAGGTAACCGTATCAAATTTTTTTAAATTATAACCATGGCTATTCTGTATTGGTCTTTGCAAGTGGGAAAAAAAAAGGCTCTTGAGATATTTTTAAATTGTCTTTTCATTATGAATAATTAGCTCGTGCTTCACAAACATGCGGACAGAATGATATGGCTAGCAAAAGAAGTACACATATAAAAATAATTTTTATGTACAAATTGTAGGTCATGTAGTACATGCCTGCATGTGCTGCATGTACTGTCAAGTATAAAGTACATTGTTGTACCCATATGTATGGGTACACACCTCAACTCGTATTTTTCTCTCAACATCTAGATGTACAGAGATGCACATGTACACATGCATGGGCACAATTACATTTGTGATATCTTATATATCAAAATAGAAAAAAAAGGAAATGCATGTGTGATAGCGACATATGTTCAATAATTCATATGGCTGAATATGAGAGTCATTTCTTAGGTATTCTGAGTGGCTTCTCTGGGGGAATGAGGTCATTTCATTGAGTGTCATGCTTTTAAGGAGGATTTTTCCTGTAAAACTAGGGAAAGGGTTAGTGAAGTACATTTGTATGTAAATATTTTGAGCCTTCTCTGCATATACTGATAATCACATCTTTTATCCAAAACAGAATCAAGAAATTCTGTGTTGCATGCCCAGAAAAAAATTTGATCTCGAATGCTTAGACGCACGCATGTACACCAAGGTCCAAAAACATGGCTGTTACATTAAAATAGCATCCGTTATATTGTTAACAGAACCCCTACCCATAACAGTGTAGGTAAACGAGGGAATAAAATGGTTAATAAAATACATAAACGTCTGTTGCGTTATGACTGTGATATTGGGTTTCAATTTTTTATAATAAAAAATGCTGAACAAAATAAGTAATAGTCATTACTGTTTTAAAAGAGACATTTGCCAGTCCTGTTATGGTCTGATATATTCATTCTTTTTAGAACCTTGATGGTGGATACATGCATATGCGTAAGTTATGGCATGTCCTCCACATGTGAAATGATTGATGATTGCTCAAAGACAAGTACTTGCATTAGAAAAGATAATCCTTAATTGTGTGAGAATGGAAAACTTCCAAGTATGTAAACTTAGTGGGTATAAACAATTCTGTTTGCATGCCCAAGCATGTTTCTCTGTTTGGAATGGAAAATATGGGCCATTCTGTGGGAAATGAAATGATTTCTCCAAGTATCATTCTTCATTGGAAATGTGGGAAAATGATTAAAGAGTTTGTATGTTGTACCCGTACTACTGTTCAGTTTGACATATGTACCATTATATGCTTTTCCGCGATAAAATTATCCCAATGAAAGCAATAATAATTTTTTTGGTAGTCTGTGAAAGCAATAATATGAATTTATGAAACTGAGTTTTGCTCCGACTTGATGATTGTGTATATGGAAGAAAGGGATCAAAATGATGGCACGTTTCCTCCCTATCAAATTGGTGCAAACCGTCGGTGCCCTCCCCTTACCCCCTCTCCTCCCCCCTCTCTCTCCTCCCTCTTCTTTTTCTCTCTTTCTTCTGTATATTTGTGTTCCTCAACAAGGAAATTCGCCAAGGAGGATTGCTATTTCTTGATTATCACTTTACTTCTTACTTCAAATTCATTCGTTGGTTCAGCTACCTTAGGTGAAATTTTAATTGTTATGCCTGTGATAATTTGACTAAACTTATGTTTTATTTCTAGTTTGAAATAAGGATTTACAAATTACATATTTTGTGGATTAGTTCTTAGTTTTATGCACAAATGACACTAATGTGTATTGGTTTCCAATCCATTGGTTGGAAATACTCCATTTGGTTATTGTTTAAGTTACTTGACTGGGGAAGGAATTGCTTAGGTGTGGTTGAATTTTGGTCATATGCCTCTGATGAATCTGCATACAACTCTGCTTGAGTGTGGATTGTCCTATAACGTTGCTGATGGGATGTATCCATCAAGCAGGTCAAAACAAGAGCTAGACTTGCAAATCCTCTGCCCAAGACACCTGCAGTGAAGGGTGGAATGCGTGGTGGATTTCGGATTGGTAGTGGAATGCGCTCTAGGTTTGGTGGGTTTGTCTCATTTTGAGTTTTCAAACTTAGTGTGTTTTCGTTATCTTTGGCTTTTTGATGTAGTGTGGAAACTCTTACATTTTCGCCTCTGTTCAACAGGAAGAGGATTTGATTATGGCAGGCGAGCTTTCTACCATACAGGTTATCAACGTGGTAGGGGATTCTATCCACGTGGTCGTGGCCGAGGAGGAAGGTTTTCCTACAGTGATGATCATATGAACACTTCATTTTCAGAATTCCATGGGCAGAGGGGTAGGTATTTAACTATCTATTGAAAGAGATCACTGTGGAATCTTTTGATTGCAGAAACCTTTTTCCTTTTTCCATGTTTTAGAAATTTGAATACTAGGAAGGAGCAGGACCATTTCTTGACCCTTTTGTTTAACATGACCTTATTTCTCAGGAGGAGGAAGAGGCCCTTCTAGGGGCGGTCACGTGGCTTATCATGAAGAATTTGGTACACAGGGTCCTATTTCAAGGGCTGGTCCAGATCGGCCAAGGCGTGTTTCCTTTGATGGGGTGAATGACAGGCCTTTTCCACCTAGACCAGAATTTCCACCTCAAGAAGATTTTGACCGTACCTTTAGTGATAGATATTATAGTGATGACTTCTATGCATTTGATGGCATGAGTCATGGTAGGAAAAGGCCTTATTCTTCTATGGTAAGTGGGATATTAAGTGATCTCCCTATTTACTGCTTTTATGGTCCCACATGAGATGTAAAATTAACTAGTCAAGGACTCGTGATTGACTTCAGGGCCAGGATCCTGGTTATTCTGAGCCTGGGTCTAGAAGCGGGCTACGCGGACGTTATGGTTATCCTGATGCAGCACCTTCCAGGACTCGTTACCAAGGTTTGCGTTCTCTTTCCAAACAATCTCTTAAAGTGTTCATGCATTTGTCATTGTTCTCTTGTAATAATATACCTATAAATGATCTGATTGAAATTCTCCTCTCCCTTATTTATGTCAAGATTCTATGGGTGCTGGAAGTGGGTTTTATTCACATGATTACTATGACACCGAGGTAAGTAACCAGCAACACTCTTTTTTTATAATCCTTTTCTAAGGCATCTCAGCAAATAGCTATTCTTCTTTATTTTCTGTCTCAATTTCTCTCCTCTGTTTCATCCCTTATTTTACAATCTGGTTTCTCATAGCTCCAATGCTTTATGTTCTAGAAACAGTTCGGCCGCAGTCCATATTCATCTCTGTATAGAAGTGACCGTTCATCAGGAGGCAGCTATTATTATTAAATCAATTGTTTGGTAATGCTGAGTCTTTCTTCCTTTCTGCTTACTTTGTTGCATGAATTTTCTCAGAGAGATATTGGGATAGGAGTTGTTATTCATTATGAATATGGTGAATCTTCTCTTATCAGTTGATGCCTTAACTTTGTTTTATGCGAGCGTCTATGCAGATATTTCTCATGGTATCATTTGGAGGCTACTTTGACGCTTGTTTGGAGTAGTGGAATGAATCAACCTGTTTGGGCAAGATTTTGAAAGTGGATGGTTTCATGAAGCCTTGAATGAGGTTTTTAGGCTGCCTAGCTCTAGGTCACTAGGATCTAGACATATCCTTGTAGGTCTTTAGTATCATGGAAGCTGGCACAAGAGATTTATGCAGAGATGTTGAATGACAATAGTTTGTTTGATCTTTGTGACGGATGTGGATGTATTTTGTTGTGTGAAATTTATCAAGTTTCATGGGGATCTCAAATTTATATTAGTTGATTTTCAAATTGAGGATGACATTCTATGGTGATGTTACTCTTTTCTTTTTTTTTCGGGTTTTGTAGTTATATATCTATGCTTTACCTTCACAAAAGCAATTGAAAGGGCTAAGTGGGAGACTAATAATCACCCGAAGTCAGATATACCTTTATCAAGTTAGTATGGCTTGTTTTAAATACCTAAAAAGTGAAATAAGAGATCTCATTGATCATGAGAGAGTATACCTGGGGATCTGGCTAGAAGTTTTGTATAAGTGATCATGGCAAAGTGAAACATAATTCATCAACTTTTTGACAAGCATTTATTCTTGATCTGTGAAATTAACATGGATAGGAGTTTGGAACACGAGTACATATGGGATCGGTTTACTGTTTCTAGGAGATGTGTGGCTTGGGCTTATCTTGACTTCTGAATATATTCTTCTCCATTTTATATGATTTTGAGGAAACATTTGGGCCTTTGAAGTTTGAATGCTTCAAGATGCAGAAGTTTTACCAGATCTATTTTATACTTCGTCATTTTAATAGATTTACTTATGATTCATGTGCACACTTATTGGTTGGAGCTCTTATATTGTAACTTATACCTCCGTACTTGATGGTAAGTTGTAGGTTCCAGTGTTATGTTATGGATACCTTTTGTGAGGATAATGATTTTTGGCCTTGTTCTAATGCAATGTTTGGAGTGCATGGACTTGCTTTGCAATTTTTATGAGGAACTAAATTTCTCTGTACTTCTAATGCAATGTGGAGAATTGGATGTTAGACTTACCTTGGGAATACCTGATGTAGGATAGGTGGTTCCCATTTCTTTTGACTGGAGCAACTTTTGCTGGCACCTAGATCTCTGGGTGAATATATCCCATTTATAATTGTTGTTTATTGAAGTAAGCCTTTTATTGAAGTAAGCCTTGTGTGGCTTCTCATGAAGACTTAAGGAAAATCATTGCAGGGTTCAGACCTTTTTGGTTGATGTCTAATATTTTCACAACTTGATAAAAACATGTTACATTCTTATGAACTGCTAAATCATGGTGAGGCGAGATTGGGACTTGTGATGATTTCATTTCATCAATCATCAGCCATTATATTTTTGATGATGGGTCATTTGAAAGCAGAGCTTATTTACACATTCCAGATGTAATTAATTTGTTTCCCCCCCCCCCCCCCTGGATTGTGTATATTTTGCATGGTTGGTATGAATGCCATCAATTGCATTCTTGAATCTACTATGGGGAGCATGGCCCTAAAAATTTGTGGTGATTAATATGAAATTTGGAGTCAATATTCCCAATATCGAAGCCAACTAACACAGGTTATGTTGTGATCTCTATTAAATTTACTTTGCTAGATTTTATATTGTTATGTGATCAAGGGCTTATCCCTCTTCATTTTTTTCACGAGAACCTCCTAATCTGTTCATGTTCTTAATGCAACAGTGAATCATGACTTACCTGATGGATCACACATCTACGATATTTGGATTGTTACTTCTCTTCCATGTAAGATGGTCAAAGGAGCAGGTGCTACAATAGTTATCAAATATTGTTTTATTACCGTTAACATGAGGTTGATCATAGTGCTGACTAAATACTTACTGCGCTAGGTCTATGATTGGATTTTTCTATTGGGGGTTGAATTCTTTTCAGCATTAATGGGCTCTTTCAGATGGAAAGAATAGATCAAGTTGACTCGTGGAAACAATAAGAAATGATTTGAGCCATAGTTGCTGTGATCTCCATTCTAGATGGTGATCCCGCTTCGGAATCTCGCTTCCGCTTTTCATGAATGAGATCTTCAAAGGATCTCGATTTTTAAATTCAGGATCTTGATCCCTCCTGTTATGGATCTCAATGGCCACTGTTAGGGATCTCGATCTCCACCTAAAGACCAAGATAATAACCAAAATGATGATTTCCATGCTAGATTGCAATTATACTTTTAATATAGTTGCATTGTTTGCTGGCTATAAATAAAGAGATCTCTGCATTAAGAGCATGTATATTTCTATACTATATGTACTTTTCAAAGTTTGCAGAAAGATCTCCAAAAGGTTAGGATCAAGAACCCAAAAGGTTCGCATTGGGGTTGCAATCGAGATCCAAACATTTAGCGATCTCGATCCCTAACATATGCAATGCATGGACAATGCTCCTAACCACGAAATCTTCTAACCTTTCATGGTCCCCTCCCGATCCCAACAACTATTGTTTAAGTATCAGTGGCTGTTATAAATTGAATTGGATCATTGTCAGATCAATAGATCATTATGATACTGCAATACATTGAATTGGATTTAAAATTATTGTGTACAGTTGTTGACGTTCTTGTTTCCCGCATTTCTTTATGGTTTGGAGTTGGTAATTTAAATCATGAAAATAGTGTGAAATAAACGTTTGAACTGACTTATGAAGAAGTCAGTTTTTTACCTCACCCATGTGATGATTATCCACAAATAAGTATCCATCCTGTGGCATAGTATCTATACTGGCTTGCCAATTGACGATTCCCTTTTGTCATTCTCGAGTTGGAGACTGCTTTAAAGGAAAATTTGACTCCATTGGAAAGAAGGCCCTTTTGAGAAAAATTTGCTTTATGAAAAGGATATTCTTTTGCCAAAAAACTGAACATTTTAATCGAAAATTTTGTGTTCATATTAAAGTGTTGTCCTTGAACCTTTGACAGCTTTTTGTATGGACATTTGAGTAAGTCCATTTGTATTCACAGAGGCTCCTAAAGAAGCTCTTGCAAGAGCAGGACTAGGAGTGCCATTAGAGACAATTTTCTATTGGATATGGCCTAGTGGATCATCTAGGGGACTCTGATTTTTGGATAATCATCCAAGTGCATATCTCATGCTAATTGTTCTAATAAGGTCAGTTATTTGTATCATGTTTCTCACCATTAAATTTCTTCTGTATTTATTGGATTGATCCATGTTTATGGGTATGTTATACTAGAGGTGTTGTCAATGAGAACATGTAATCTGCCTTTTCTTTAATAAGTAGTTCAGTATGTACTAACATTATTTGCATATTGTGTATACTTCATTCCTGCGAAAGATTAAATTTAATGCAAGAAATGATATACTGTCATATGCTATTGTTGCCATGTCATTATGACCTCTATTTTGTATTGTAGAGGTTTTTAGGTCATTATTAGCACAAGCAACTTGGGACTAGCCTACTTTGCTGCTTTAGCAATTTCTAGGGATGCCTTTCCTGCTGTTGTTTGCCTTGGTAGTTGCCAGGATGACAAGTTCGCCTTCGAAATTCTGTGGTAATATACTATTTATTAGGACAATGTCTTGGGAGGTGAACGGGCTTTAGGGAGAGGTGGTCAGGGTGGCATCCACCATATGATGTCTAGAGTTCTATTCTGACCAGGACCCAAGTAAAAATTTAACCCCCCTCCCCTCTGTCCACCCCCCGCCCCCAAATCCAAAGAAAAAGAAATAAAAAAAAAAAGAAAAGAAAAGAAAATTTTGTGGGAGAAATATTTGAAAATTTATACTGTTTTCTATTCCTTTGATTGATAGGTGATTTTAACTTTACTAACGAGTTGGGAATGGTCTTCATCATTGAATGGATAGACACATTTTAGCTATAACAAGGCTTCGAGAGTCTTTTACAATTTGTTTGATAGCTCAAGTTTGAGAAATATTTTATAGGGTTGGGCCTGACCCAGTACCAATTCCTTATTGGGCCAGGCCTGAACCTTGCTCGAATGAGTCTTGAGAGGCCCAGGTCCAGTCTGACAAAGCTAATCTAGTTATAAGTTTGATTGCAATTGACATCTCAGGAGCCCTCTTTGTAGCACTTGAGCCCATAAATCCTAGATTCTCTCCGATGTGGAACTATTGTTAGCTGAACCCCCCTTTCCATATTTTCTCTCTCCCCTCTTTCTAGAATTTTAATGTTAATAAGAACCCAATAATGGGAATCCGGAAGAGAGAAACCACCCAGTATTGGTAGGTTTGAGGTTTTGAAGTTGGTTTTAAAAAATAACAGGGCCATTGATCTTTTATTGCATCCCAGTTATTCATTCTCTCCAATTTGTTTGGCCTTTGATCTCTCTCTCTCTCTCTCTCTCTCTTTCTCTAGTATTAAAGATGGCAGATTCTGCAATTGCAGCAACCTCCTTTCCATGTCTCCCATAATTACCCTTCTCTCCATAACCAAAACCTTCAAAAAGGTGAAAAAACCCATTAGACTTGATTTATTCTTCTCAGAAAATGCAATCTCAATGTAAAGAGAATTACATAGCTATCACTTGGAACTCTGGCCATGGAGTCCCCCATAGAAAACTTCCTTCTTCTCATTCATCAAACCAACAAAACTAGAGCCCAGGTTCCACTCCTCTCAAACAATGGCTCCATTCTGACAATCTGTTGTTTCTTTCTTAATTAAAATGCCTAGAAAATCTACCCTAATCCTACTCTCGGAAGTGTTTCATGACAACAAGCAAGGAGAGGTTTTGAAGTTGGGTTCTCTGGTTTTTTAGAATAAAGTTTCTTTCTCTTCATTGCATGGCTCTTATTGGATTCCATCAATTGCATTGATTTCAGCCGTATAAATCCCACCATGGAATCAATCTCCATTTGAGATAATTGGGTATCAATTGAATATGCTGCTTATTGAAGTCCCTGTAGTGGGGCTCGTTTGTACATGGCTAAGAATCTTGGACCTAATGAACATCAGCTTGTTAACTTTATCTCTGGATAACAGTACTTGGTGTAATAAGATGATATATTTATTTAAATTTAGACATTAAACACAAAGCAATGATGGCTTGACTTGTTATTGTGTTATAATCTTCTCACTTTTACTCAAGATCGAACCTCACCATTTTGTTAGATTTTTTTTCTTTAATCAAGCAGCTGTGCCACAAAGGGGTTGTCAAGCCAAGCCCAGCTCGGTCACCAATTGTGCTGGTATCCTAGTCAAGGCCTGATGACTAGGCCTGAATCGGGCCAGGCTTGCCCATGCCCATCCCTATTATGTTACCTAAAACCCTTTT